TTGCTCCGTGTGCAAAATGACATTTTATGTTCCATTGACTCTCAGAAATGTGTTGCTTTGATACTCCTAGATCTGTCATCAGCCTTTGACACAGTTGATCACACAATTCTCTTAGAACGGTTATTGAGTGATTTCGGAATCGTTGGTCATGCTCATAAACTACTCGAGTCTTATCTTGAAAACCGCACACAGCAAGTCTGTATTGGGGACTTATTTTCTGATAAGAAACAGCTAAAATGCGGAGTACCACAGGGATCTGTGTTGGGGCCTATCCTCTTTAGCATCTACACGACCCCATTGGGCAGAATTGTCAAAAAGTATGGCATCGCATTCCATCTCTATGCGGATGATACCCAGCTGTATCTATCCTTTAGGCCTTCTTCTAACTTTAACCCATCTAAATCCCAGCTAGAATGTTGCATCGAGGATATTAGAACATGGATGTCAAACAATTTCCTTAAGTTAAACGACAATAAAACTGAATATATCACTCTTGGTTCTGATAATTTATTTTCTAAAATTGATTCTGAATGTAATCAAAATGTTTTAATAGGAGATTTTAATGTAACCCCGTCAAACTGTGCCCGTAATATAGGTGCTATCTTCGACAGTCGAATGAGCATGGAAAATCAAATAAATAGTGTGTGTAAATCATGTTATTATCAACTTCGTAATATTGGCCTAATACGTAAATATATTTCGGACGAAGCAACGAAATCTTTAGTGCATGCTCTGGTTACATCTCGTCTTGACAATCTTAACTCTCTTTTAGTTGGTCTTCCTTGTCGCCTATTGCATAAACTACAGAAAGTCCAGAATTCAGCTGCTAGACTGGTTACCAGAACAAAACTGAATGAACATGTTACACCCATTTTGTACACCTTACACTGGCTGCCAATTATTTATAGAATCCGTTTTAAGATTTTACTCTTAACTTTTAAATGTTTAAATGGAATGGCACCTGCGTATTTGTGTGAACTAGTAGAATGGTACTCACCATCACGAAGTCTACGTTCATCAAGTGACTATCTCCTTAAACGTCGAACTGCGAGACTATCGACATATGGAGAAAGATCATTCTCGTACCAAGCCCCACTGCTCTGGAATGGACTTCCGATTAATATACGCAGGTGTCACACCTTACCAACTTTTAAATCACTTCTTAAAACTCATCCAATTTGTACAAGCTTTTACATAATTTATCTATGTTTTATAATTTTATAGAGGTTCCATAATTTTTATAGACAACTTATTTTTGAATAATTTTATAGTGGAATCTGCGCTATATAAATTTATGTAATAAAAAATTTATGTAATAAAAAAAATTGCTTTAATATACTATTCAAAAAAAGTAGGGGATATTTGATTTTTAAGTGTTATTAAAGTCACCTAATGAAACTGACGAAGAAACAAATGACAAAATGAAATGAAGTTCACATTCATCGATTTATTCCAAATGATCGTTAGACTAAGTAAGGCACAGACTGACCATTATAAGGGTAACATGATACCCGGGGTCAAACAGCAAAGTTACCACAGCATCACAACCTAGTCAGTAACGGGTAAATCCTCCTCTGTTTGCCAAACAAGCATTGATCCGACGTGCCATACTCCTAATGAGACGTCTAAGGTCATTTTGGTCCAGATTGTCCCATTCCTGTTGCAACGCAGCAGCAAGTTCTTGGACATTGGCAGGACGTTGTTGACGTTGACGTAACCTCTGTCCAAGCATGTCCCAGACATGCTCGATGGGGGAGAGGTCGGGACTCAGTGCTGGCCAAGGTAATGTGGTGATGTTCTGTTGTTGGAGGTAACCTGTAACGATCCTGGCCCTGTGACATCTTGCGTTGTCATCCTGGAAGATGAAACGGCGGCCATGACGTCGTGCGAACGGCACAACATGGACTGCCAAGATGTTGTCCCGGTAGTACTGGCCTGTAACACGCCCTGCAACAACATGTAAAGCCGTTCTTCCAGCAACAGTGATGCCTCCCCACACCATAACAGAACCACCCCCAAATCGATCATGTCTGATGACGTTAACGTCTTGGAAGCGCTCGTTTCGACGACGCCACACCCTCCTACGTCTGTCCAAAAAATCAACAGTGAACCTTGACTCATCTGAAAACATCACATTGCTCCAGCGTCAATTATCCCAGTGTTGACGATCCCTACACCAACGACGTCTTGCCTGAATGTGATGATCTATCAAACAAGGGATCACGCGAGGACGTCGGGCGCGAAGGTGACCCCTATGCAGTCGATTCCGAATCGTCTGGCCACTCACTCTCACACCAGTGTCTGTTTGAAGACGAGCGCTGATCTGATTTGCTGTGATGACACGATTTCTCAAGGCCAAGGTACGGATAAATCGATCCTGGGCTTGAGTTGTCGCCCTTGGTCGACCTGAGCGTGGTCTGTCCTGTACAGATTGTGTATCACGGTATCTGGACCATAGCCTGCTTATGACAGACTGAGAAACATTCATCGTCCGCGCCACAACCGCCTGTGTTGTGCCGATCTGTAGCATGCCAAGGGCACGTAACCTTTCATTTTGGGTAAGCCGACGCATATCAAAATTTGTTTTCTGGTCACTAAAACAATTAAACTGATGTTTCCACCCTGGAATTCAATGCCACAATGACTGTAACATTCAAAGTCAGAGTCGTGCAAATCTTGGGTTGGACCCCCATGATGATCCCAAGCATCACCTGCATTCCATGCGGTAGCTATTGGTGCGTTTGGGCGTCACATGTAACTGGAAATGTTTCTTCTGTTAGGTTCTATAGTGACTTTTTTCGTAGTCATTTGCATATTTTAGTATTATGCCCCCAAAATCAAATATCCCCTACTTTTTTTGAATAGTATATATCGACGGACATATCACAATGAAGCAAAAGCTATCCCGGACAACATATATTATAGTGGATAGGAAGCTTTACAGGCAGGTCCAGTATATTGAATAATACAATGTCATTAACTTCCAGCCCTACACAACATGCACATAACATTGGTTAACCAAACAAAGTGTGCCGCGTAAGAACGTAGGTACTTAAAAGGGGGACATGTTAAAAGACATGACACTTATGTTCAACACATGACATTACACTAATGTTACAACCCATAATATTAAACTTTGACCTGTGAATGATTACAAATAGTTTTGCGAAAACGTTTTTTAAGAGATATATAGGTGTAATCTGTGCCACGCGTTACCCTATCAGATGAAAAAGGAATCAAAGATGTCGGTCATATTTGAAATAAACATGTTTATCGGGATCACAAAGGGGCGTTCTGAAGTGCAGAAACCAAGTGATATTCTCGTCTGAGGGGTACATTTTTTATAGGTTAATTGTGGCACCGTTCTCACGAAAGAAGAATTTTGTCCGCCATACTTGAAGCAAATCAGTCTTCTACCGGGATTTCGTAATGTGTTCAGTTTGGAACCGGTTCTAAAGTAGGAACCCAGGGGATACCCGATCAGCTGAAACAGGAACCAAAGTTGTTTGTAACATTTGAAATAAACATGTCTATTGGGGTCACTAGGGGGCGTTCTGAAGTACAGAAACCAGATGATATTCTCTTCTGGAGGGCACTTTATACTTATAGGTCAATAGTGGCACCATTCTCACGAAAGAAGAATTTTGTCCGCCATACTTGAAACAAATCAGTCTTCTACTAGTTCTACCGGGATTTTGTGATATGTTCAGCTTAGAACCCGTCATATTTTGAAATGAACCTACGCGCTCGGGTCACTATGGGGCGTTCTAAGCCAGAAGCCAGGGGATTTTATGTTCTGAAGGGCACTTTTCAAGTTTGCCTTAGCAACGTGAACAAATGTAGCAAAGATTAACTTTGTTCACAAAAATTTGAATTAAATCGACTTTTTCCGCGATTTCGGGGGCGTACAGCCCCTAAACCCAGGGGATGTTCAACTTAAGAATTCCCATTCTGATCATCGGCCATGATGGTACCTCCGTTAGGCATAGTGCAAATTTTGTCCGCGAGTTTAGGAATAACGGTCAGCTAGCTCCCCTACTACTTTATGGCTTTTATGAAAATCTGTTAAAAACTATATTCTGTAGAGTAGGTACAACTAGGGCATCAACGATCATATATCAGGGGCAGTAACTCTGAAAATATATTTAGGAAAACCCCATTATAGATAGGAATTTTTTTATTCCATTCTAACCATTTCGTGAAAACTTGCGAAGATCAGTCGAGATGTATGCTCTCTGGAGAAAGTACTCGTGCTGTAATATACTTAACCAACTATGCATTTGACACCGTCTTCGTCCTAATACTACCTATACAATTTGATCACGTCAAAAGCAATAAGTCTGGAACTTCATCTCGGAAACACATGACAGGGACTATCTCACTTCGATATTACAGTTACAGTGTGAAGGTTAGAATCGAAACCACGCCAGTTGACTCAATGACAGACCTTATGATACAGCGCCACGTGTAAACCATTCGGCCATTCGGCCATCCAAACCAACGTGTGAAGGTTGGGGCATAGACATCAGACGAACAGCGGCGACGACAATATAAAACCACCTTAATGTGTGAACAAATAAAACGAAGTCCTTTATAAAAAATGAAATGAAATGGGGTTTCACGTCCTACTGTTCTGCTCCGAACTGAGCTAATGAAGACTGACATACGCCCTACAAATGTGCTAAGAGGCACTACGGTCTACTCTTATATCGAATTCCAAGTGTCTAGGGATCTTTTACGTACACGACAATGTGTACACCGGACCTTGGTTTTCCGTTCCATCCAAAAGACTAGACAGCTGTTCTTGTCAGGCCCCTCTTCCTGCATCACTGACAGGGGAGGGGGGGGGCACGCCTGAAAAAGTAGTTGAACTTTCTCGGCCAACGCAGGGATTGAACACGCGACCTCTAGGCTAGCGAGCCAGCGTCTTACCCACTTAACCACCGTGAACCCCGTCGCGTCCTTTGTAGTTTTTACATACTTATACATACTAAACAATATTCCAAGTATATATATATTTGGGTAAGAAAAAAAACTAAACGTATAACAAGCATTATAATACAATAATGGTTTCGAAAGCAGCTTAAAGGTTTCATTTATATTAAATTTTTAGCAAGATAATTGTTTGATCTCTTTCAGTTGCGTTCAAAATAATATTGTCGATTTCAATGGATTTTGTATGTTGCTTTGTTTTGTTGCTTTGACAATCTGCTTTCGTTGAAAAAACATTTACGTCCAAAACAGATAAAGCCATTAATGATATATAACCGGTTGTGTGTTTCACTGTCGACAATAACAGACAAAAGTGGGTCTACAATTAGTAAACAAATCTAATTAAATTCCTTATTTAACCTAATTCAAAGAGGTTTAGCTAGTTGTTAACGATAGCCAAACAAAGTGTGGAACACGCCAAAATGCTTTCCGGAAAAGGGCTCAATGCTTCACACCAAAAAAAGGATGTTAAAAACTGTAGGCTCTAACACGTTTACAAAGTTTTCGTCAAAAGAGGCATATCTCTTGGAAAGAAAAGCGCAGAACATTGAATAATGATTGGTTCGACCTCTCATTAGCTCTATGCTTTACATCAAACACGGGTTTTGAATAATCCGATTTTTACAAAAAGAAATAGGGATTCCCGTCTGGTCAAAATACAAATTCCCTGAAAGTTTCAGAAAAGTCTGCTAAAACTCTGGCCTATACTAAGCTGACAAGCATTACAAACATTACAATAAGTTGCAAGCATTAAAAGGATCCTCGCCGGACAGGGCGATTACAATTAACATGTGGGCGTATATAAATCAATGCATATTTTCACATTAACGTTATAAACAGATGGTTATTAATACATTTATCACACTAATATTTAGTTGGAAAATAGTTTCGAACAAAAACGGAAAATGAAACAAAAAATAAAACAAAAAACGAAATATATTTGATTTACATTGTAAAATTACATTGTAATAGTAAATCGGCGATAGCTGCCCACTCATCATCTAGGTTTCGCTTATTATGGTACTAGTACGTATCGTGTAGAAATAAATGGCTCTAATCAGCAGTGATACAGCTGTTATAAAAGCTCCTGAAACAGCAGATCAATCATTTTAAGAACAATTTAGAGGCATGATAAAGAGACGGAATGGATCCAAATAACTTAGTGAAAGTCTATACAGTATCGACAAGATATAATTATCGAATGTCAAAATTATACTGCCAGAACACTAAATGTGGGCATGCAAAAATGTTTATATTGGTTTTATTTAAGACAACAATGACTCAATGGAAATATTTTGTTTATTGTACCAAGTTGTGCTTATCAAAGTACAGATATGTGTTATTCGTATTGCCTTATTTTATTTCAAACAAACAATTACTGTGTGTTAAAGCAAATGTGTGATGACAACTTACCAATCCACACAATATATATTCCACCAGCTTTACTTGCCGCTTCATACGTACCCACCTAAATACCAAAATATAGGACAGTCACTGTAAAACCGATGTCGTTCACTTATGAACCAATGACTAACTATTACAAAAGAGTTTTATGTCATTAAATGATTTTAGTCCTCATTAATTTAAACTAAAGCATCTACTTAAATCTACTTAAATAAAATGAAATGGGATTTAATATCCTTTAACGCCTTTTCTTTCTCACCCAGCTAGTGAAAACGATTGGCATAATTACGCCTAGTAGTAATGTGCTATAGGTGATATCGTGCCAGGCGGGCGTTTCCTACTGCTCTTCATTGGCACCTGTGTCCATCCCCAGGCCCTCTGCTGGAAATACCCAGGAACTTTCGGGTATAATTATACTATAATGAGCGAGCACTTTACTCACTGAGCAACTTGGCTCCAGGACCTACTTTAAGTCGCTGGTTGTTATTTGCATTTTGAGGACCAAAATGTTTTATTGTTTAATCTACGTTTAGATGTACTCAAATTAATAATGTAACATTAAATAAAGAATAGACAAACATATAAACAGTAGAAAACCGCCTGGTTTGGCATCAATCGCGTTGGGCTCTTTTGCAAAATTCAAATTATCAAAACGGCCAAATACTAAAAATGCGTCTTTTTGATCGAGATTCTATGGAAGGGTATCGCTGCCAACATTATATGCTCTGCTACAATGTCTTTTCCATTGATTATATGTTAAAAGTACAATGTACAAAGTTCTAATACCGGTAATGATAAAGTCAAAATACCTCTATTGCAAGAGTTACATGTAAAACGTCAAATGTTAAGTGTTAAATGACAAATGTTTTGTGGGAAAATGCTTTTTTGACGTGTCTACATTTTACATTTTTCTCTTATTACCTTTTACATTTGCCCTCTGTCACATCCCATTTGTCCTTCACGAACAGGTATGCAAAGTTTCAAAAGGATATGCCAAAAATTGCGGTATGTAGGATATACATAGACACAAAAATTAGTCATCCTTAGGGTATAAGGAATAAGTATAAAAAGTAGAAACACAAAGAAAAAATGGGCGTGGCTCTGTCCCTTTGGGGGGGGGGGGGGGCATGCGCGCGCCACAAACAGTAGGGATGATCCTAAGAGTATAAGGAATACGTATGTAAAGTTTCAAGATGATCTGTTAAGAAATGCGACCTGTAGACGACAAATACAAACATTGGGTGTGTCTCTGATCCTGAGGGTGGGGATGCACCACAAACAATAGGGATCATCCTTAGGGTATAAGGAATGAGTATGCAAAGTTTCAGGGCAATCCATTAATAATTGTGGCCTGTAGGCCACCCCAGACACACACATACAGGCCTGTAGGCCACCCCCAGACACACACACACGCACCACACACCCACACATACATATACACACACACAGAGACAGGGGCGACGGTAACATACGTCCACATTATGAAGGTGGACGTATAAAAAGTATTGTCGATTTTACAAGAAAACATATTATTTAAGTATTCTAAGACATGAATATTGCTTTAAGAATAAACTATAACAGATACTTATGGAAGAACAATCACTGATTTATTTGGCATTTGTTCATTTAAATTTCTGTACGATCTTATAAAAATATGACTATTGTACTTTAAGAAATTATACTTACAGTTACTCCGATACCAGCAGCAATAAAAACAAGAGCGATTATTAAATAAACATGAGCTTTAATTCTCGCATAGTTTTTTCCAACAGCAGTCCTAAAAATACATACATGCTTGTTCTATAACTAATAACCCAAAGATATAAATCAAGCATCTCAAAGCCCAAAATACACTTGATCGTTTCACATTTACTAGACTCTTTTTATATTTTATAAATCTGTAAGAACGGACGAATCCAATATATAGAGAATCTCCTTCGAGTCTTTTTTTTATATCAAAAAATATCAACATATGTTGATAAAGTAAAAAAAAAAAAGGCGCGAGTCTCAAACTCGACTTGCCAGATACGGTGGTTACGACTAATACACGCATCTTGTCAAAACCACATTGATATCTTCGCTCAGAATAAGGTAATTTGAATGAAATTTTCAATATATTCAATTTGCATTATCTATTTTTGAAATATTATAGCGAGAACGACCAGCTCTTTATCTAAATCTTCCATACTGTCCCTTTAAAGAATGGTAAGTCGGACGACATTCTAGATATTTGTTCACTATCTAAAAGTCAAATCCTCGTATATCAATTTATCCTCTTAGCCCAAAGATTTGTAAGTTAAAAGTAATCATTTAATTGTGTAAAATATGGGTTATTACAATATGTTTCAGTATCGTTTGAAAACTAAATAATTCAGATTGTTTTCTCTATTGAATAATTTCAGTGAAGGCAGTTACGATGCTTTGCAATGGGTTTTGTAGTACCCTCGATGTTATGATTATATTAACCATATCCCGAACGGGTTTTGAAATGAATATCTCCCCAAAATGGAAGAAACTGTCTTCAAAGGAGAGATATTGTTACTTTCATTCTACGTTCCTGGTAGAACTATACTTACAACTTTCGACAATGTGGGCATCTTGCTAGTGATTTCTTAGCAACATCAAACTATAATATAAACAAGCCAACAGTGAGGCTGATGTCCCCCGCCGAAATAGGAAAATAATTAGAGGACACATATAAATTTATCACAAATTATCTTTTACAAAGTATTGAACAATCAAACAGTATATCTTTACTTATAGTCTAACAATCAAAGTAGGAGAGTTATTGTTTTCCAAAGTCTCGACCAATCACATTGCGTATCGCTCTGCTTACCCTGAGCAGAAAATGCTCATTATCAAACTTAGTCAAGGTATTACTGTAATGAAACTATACACCAAGTTTCATCAATCTCACTTAATTAGAACTAAAGTTATCGTGTCCCAAAGCATCAACCAATCAAATTGCTTATCTCTGCTTACCCTAAGCGGAAAATGCTCATCTTCGAACTCCATCAAGGCATTGACCTAATCAACACATACACCAAGTTTGAACATTCTAGCTCAATTAGGAAGAGAGTTATCGTGCCCCAAAGTATCAACCAATCAAATTGCTTATCTCTGCTTACCCTAAGCGGAAAATGCTCATCTTCGAACTCCATCAAGGCATTGACCTAATAAACACATACACCAAGTTTGAACATTCTAGCTCAATTAAAAGTTATCGTGTCCCAAAGCATCAACCAATCAAATTGCTTATCTCTGCTTACCCTAAGCGGAAAATGCTCATCTTCGAACTCCATCAAGGCATTGACCTAATCAACACATACACCAAGTTTGAACATTCTAGCCCAATTAGGAAGAGAGTTATCGTGTCCCAAAGCATCAACCAATCAAATTGCTTATCTCTGCTTACCCTAAGCGGAAAATGCTCATCTTCGAACTCCATCAAGGCATTGACCTAATAAACACATACACCAAGTTTGAACATTCTAGCTCAATTAGGAAGAGAGTTATTGTGTCCCAAAAAGTGTGACGGACAGACAGACAGACGGACGAACCCATTTTAATAGTCCCCTGCTTTCTTCGAAAGGCGGGGGACAATAAAAATATACGTTATATACCACAAAAGATTTATTAAGTCGACGCCTAAAGCAACTTAACCCGGGATGTTGTAGTCCTTTCTGTGTTTAAATTGTAATCACGGAACAATAGTCGCATTTCCAAATTAATATGTATAATGCAGTTTAAAATATCAGGAAAAATAAGACAGTTTAGAATTAAAGTCATTCAAACCATCTGCTAGATTGTCGTAGTGTGTGTGGTTCCTTAACTCACAAAATCACTACTCAAACAAGCCCGTATTAGTAAAATATATTTGTAGAGTTTTCTTGTAGAATTAGTAATGTGAACGCCTTTTTATACTATTAGGTTTAGTTTATTCGGTCAGAAACAATGTAAAATTAAATTTTGATCTGGTGGAATATATAAATTAGTATTATTGTTATTGCAGTTGTGTTACCCGGCGTTTAGTGGATAGAATCTTTGTAACATCAACATTAACCCAATAATCATGATCAATTGCATACAACACCAAATCAATAGCTCCATTTAATTTCTTGTAAAAACGGTCATTATGAAATTATCTTTAAAAACAATGCAAGCGTAATTTAGTACGAGAGAAAGATGTTATTGAAGAAAACAATAACGTTCTGGGATGTTTCTTACGTGGCCATGGCCTACTAAATGACAAGAGCGTTTTTTGTCGAAAGCACCCAAGATGTTGAAAGGGTGGCTGCGACACGGTAAAATGTGGGGTTTGTTAAATCTGTCAAGGGTGCAAATATCTTGGACATTCTGTCATTCCGAACAGAATTGTCACCAAATTCAAAATCAAGAACATCATTAAATTTCGCACAAACAATTTATTTTATTTTAGCCGTTTGGTTTTCTATAACAACAACCGCTCAAAAAACTTACTGTAAATTATATATACTCACGATGAAATTTTGAGCACAATACACACACGTTGCTCTTACTGAACTTGGTGGTCTAACTGTTACACTTGGCGCGACACCACATAGATTAAGATTAACAATACGACCACTGTAATACAAAATATCATTTTAAATGTCCCCGCATTTTTAAAAAAACCTTTAGTAGAAGTTCGAAGAAACTGTAGTAGAGCAAGAGACTCGTTTAACAGTTGTGTATACCCTGCTGCGACCACCATCGATTACCATGCCACCTCAAACCAAGGGATATTCTGATAAATTAGGTAAAAAAAATGATGAATCATCTGTATGAATGAACATTTACGCATGCGAAGATTTTAATGAGCCATGGGTTGTGTGTACTTGTAAGGTGCCCCAATTATCTTTGTAAATATATACTGCACCATCCTACAAGTACCTATTTACGACTGGGTCGACTAGATAATGTAAGGTTTGGACACCAAACGTGTAACCCACACATTTACAAATCTAACCACAAATCCCCCCCCCCCCGCATCAATATTGTTATTCGGATGATTTTTAATCAGGGAATGGGGAACAAGCAAAGTATATCAGACCAAAAGGTTTGGGTTTTTTTAGGTTTCTGGTAGTGTTAAGTGAACTGAATGACATCCTAAATGTTTACCAAAACAGAAGTAGCTGAAAGTTCCACATTTTGAGGGTAAATGCCAGGTTTTTTCATAGATCATACAGGACAGTGTTTTTTTGTGGTATCTGGTAGAGTGGGCTGTACTAAATAGCATCCAAAAAGTTTACCAAAATCGGAGTACCGGAAAGTCCCAAATTTTGAGGTTAAATGAAACTGAAACTCTTCCTTAGGTTGTCAGGGCCAATCTTTTCACTCGAACTGTTGTTTATAGATGCCCGATGCTCCCTTGTGTCCTATACCACTACCCTGTAAACCACTAGCCGAGAAGCTACATATATACATGTATATGAATGGGCATAAATCTGTACTGTTTCTTAATAAAATAGCAAATTTGGTAATTCTATCTCACAACCTGTGATTGAAAAACTTCGTCATAATATAGTAAATTTGAAGATATGCTCAGGGGCGTTAACAGGTCCCCTATACCTTTTACGGGGTGCTTCATGACATACTGGCATATTTGATATGTACATGTTTTGAGGGGATACATAATACCCCCGTAACCTGCTGTGAAGCAAGACAGACAATTAGATGTGTAAGGATCGTGCACCAGTTTGCTTTATATATAATTATTGCGAAGATACATGGGGTTGCTCTTTATTAACTTAGTATTTTTCACTAAAATAAGCGCCAATATCAGTAAGTCATATACAAAGTTATAGATTGCATCTATAGGAAAGAATCTATAGGAAAGACCGTGGATCAGCGGGTAAGACGCTGGCTCGCTAGCCTGGGGGTCGCGTGTTCGATCCCTGCATTGGCCGAGAAATTTCATCGGGATTTACCGGCGTGGTTTCTCCTTGTCAGTGGTGCAAGAAGGAGGTTCCTAACAAGGAAAGCTGTCTAGTCGTTCGGATGGGACGAAAAACCGAGGTCCCGTGTATACATTGGCGTATACTTAACAAAATGTTTTTTTTTTCTTGGTATAACCATTTACGGACTATAATTTATCAGTTTGGTTCAATGATAATATGTCAGACAAAATCATACTCAAAATCGGCCATGGCAAAATGACATGATTAACATAATTCAATTTGGCGTTCTTCAGGAATTATCGAGAGCGCTATATCGTAATCAGTGTCTTTCAGTGGTGGTAGGATAAATTTAATTTCGAGAATTCTTGATGGTAGAAATTCAAAATGGTGGAATTTTCATTAATCGTGATTTTTTTCCGTTGGGTATGACTTGTAATATGTGGTATATTAATCCAGAAATGACATAGTTGCTCTTAAATGAATATATTGTTAACGCGCTTTAAACATCTAGATGCAATAGACAAGGTGTAGAAAATTCAAGCTACATTGAAATGTTGGCAATAAAGATCTAAACATAGATTTTAGTTATACACTGTTAACCACCCATAGATGTTATAAATCACATAATTTATTCAGCTCGAGGCAAGATTTCACTAGACTAAACAAAACATTGTGTAGGAATGTAGGCTTTTATAGATTAAACAAAAAGCTGATAAATGTTGTCGCAACTTTATCTATATACGGCTTTGGATTCCGGTACCCTAGATCTAGCTCCGGTTGTAGGTAATCGGAGTCTACCGATGTTTGCCGGTGGTATTTCTGTATTAGGATTGACCATGGTGCGCTGGGGGCATCTTCGTCCTGTCCCAAAAGGAACTGTGTTCATGAACTATCATGATAACATTTCCGGGGCCGTATACCATACTTTTTAGATGGCAATCACAGAGAACATGGCACAGTAGTCCACATTGCGTCATTGTAACCTTAGGGGTAAAATCATCAATTGACTGGTCTATATGTACCCCCCCCCCCCCTTCTGTCTGTTTTGTCCATAATTGATCGGGATTCTATAGCTTCTATTTTGCTATGTGCGATTTCAATATAGTGTATTAAATGAAATATTAATTTACCAGTTTGATCTTGGGCAAGCAATCCTTACAGCCCCGGCTTTACACAGTAGTAAACAATTACACTGACATCTGGCAAATCGTTTTCCTGGTGGTGCAGCTTTAATAGGCTGTAAAAAGAACCTGATATTTAATTTGATTATCGCACATAATATTTTGGTGAGCGATTTACATTATTCTTTTTTCACCCAAGGTCACGGATAACAGCAGACAGTAAATGTAATAAATTTACCTTTATTAGTAGACAAATGGTAAAACAAATAATATAAAAATAAATATAGACAATTGAAAGAAAAATCGAAATGATTTTAAGTAAAGTATCTGTAGTGAACTGTATAGTTGGGGTGAGCATGTTGCTAATGTTTTTAAGTTCAGATTTATAACGATCACGTACATGAAAACGCGAGAAATGAAGTGTGTATCTACTGTGAAAAGTCAGATTGTAATAAAAGCTTTGGTGTAAATGCCTGCTTACTTGAGTAAATAAATTAATTTTATTTTTGTTGCAATTATGTGATTATGCATTTTGTGACAATCTGATGTCGTCTATGAAAGTGCATACCTACCGTTGTTTCCTTACAGATACCACATTTTACAACAGATTGGTGTTGTCTTCCTTCAATGTTGATCAAAGCCTGGCATACTTTACAGTTTATCATTGATGTAACACCCTGGGCTGTGGGGGTATACGGAGGGGGTAAGTCAGTAACCCTGGGTGGTGGAACACCAGAATTATCGGCATCTCTCCTATCTGGTGGCAGCTCTTTAAACATACATTGAAATAAACTTGAAATTGATCCATGTAAATAATGCAATGTTTAAAAATAGTTGCTTGTGTACAGCTTTTGTACACTAGTATATAATAGACTTTTGGTGTATTTGAATTCAAATACGAAATTGAATAGATTAAACGGCTAAATGTATGCACAATTTGAATAGATATGAAAGGGGGAATTTTCCATGGCCCATTTTCAATCACCTTCAGTTGCCCTTGAGTACTTTTAACAAGCTATTATGCATTCATCATTAATCCAGGATCTTTAAACAATATAAAGAAGACTGGTCATTTAAAAAAATTACACCAAACAATTACATGAGACTATGGCAGAATTTGAATTTAAATTTGAATCTTACCCAAAGTCAAAGTGGCTTAAATGTTATAAAACATCTAATGATTTAATAACTGCATGCTTTGTGACATCAAATAGGCGGGGTTAAAAAGTTTTTATCCACCATTGCTCATCGATGGCAACTTATTTTCGATGTTGTTTGTACGTAAATTCAGGATTCCTGCTTAAAACTAACACTTAAATAAAATAAATACTGCTCATAAAATAATTGAAAATAAATACTTTCTATATCGTTACCTGATATTATGAGTTCTTGGACATCTACGGGGGTCGACATGTTCTTAAATAATCCTTGTAGCTTTTACCAACCCGGATCAAAATACTTTATCTTTTTTAGAAAAGACTACTTTTTATTAGGCCACACAAGAAGAATTGTATGTCTATATTTAGTGTTCTGACAGTATAACATTGACTAAATGTCCATTCATAATCATTTCTTGTTGACACTCAAGAAACTTTTATTGTATTATTTGGATCCATTTGAAATGGTTTTTTTTATTAACATCAGTAGCAGGCCTACAGCCCATATTACATGTGACATAAATATATAAATAACAAATAAGTTTAAATAAAATAGAATAAATACATATTGGAGAAAACAAAAAAGATGAAATAGATATAAAATGTTAAAACATTATTCAAATTTCACCTAAATAGTCATCTCTTATTTTCATAGCTCTATGTATATACCTTGCTATAACATCAGCCAAGCCGTCATTTGTCATGTTTTAAATAGTAATCTATAGAACTAATTCTAAGGTTATTCTTACCAAGACGTTTATCTCTTACTGTTTTATATAATGGACATTCTAGTAGAAAATGAATTTCATCCTCAACAATTATAATTTGATTTATATTGAAACAATATTCACACCTTCTCTCATCTCTAACTATGCCATTCCATCGACCAGTTTCAATAGCTAATTTATGGCACCCACATTTAAATCGTGCTAAGATATTTCTTAAGTTTTTACTTGAGAAAATATTCAAATAGGTTTCACAATTTAAAATTGACTTAAATTGCTTGTACAAAATAAATTTCTCAGTTGAATTTAAATGTTCATGCCACTCGTGCTGCCAAATATCTGACAGTCTTACTTTAACATTTTGCAAGAACATTGGTACGTCGTTGACACCCTGTGCTATCCAAGCATAGCTTAAACCTAGGTTATCTAGAATAGTTTTAACGTGAGTTGCCCAGGTTATCCTACCAACCAGATGTAGATCAAAAAGCATTTTATAACACGCCTTTGGATACCTATGCTCAGGCATTTTCAAAATTTTATGCCAATACTTAATTAAATTAAGCTTAAACAACACATTTAAGTGGTGTCTACCTAACTCACCGTAAACGGCAGCATTTCCTGTTGTACAACTAACTGTTAACATTCTCTTACAAAATTTTAAATTTACTGATTCCAGACATTTATAATCTGTGTAACCCCAGATTTCTGAACCGTAGCTTAATATTGGTGTAACCATTCTGTCAAACAGATATAGGGAGTCCTTTACATTAATGTTATTTTTACAACAAAATTTATACAAAAGATTCATGGCTTTTTCTCCCTGCTGGGATAAGTTGTAACAGGATTTACCCCATATTAATTTAGGAGTAAATAGAATACCTAGATATTTATATGCTGATATTGTCTGAATTTCTTCCCCTGCATAGAACCACTTCTCATAGCTCTTAAGAACCCCACCACGCCTGAAAACAATCACCTTAGTTTTTGCCATGTTAATTTTCATTCCAAAGCGGAGACAAAATTTTCTTTTGCAGTCTAATTGCTTTTGTAATCTACCTACACTGTCTCCAACTGCTGCTATGTCATCAGCATAAAATAAAGATGAAATGTTTGATACCAGCTCATATACATATATACCTTCACATTTATCAGTTTAACATTTCTAGTAACTCATTTAAAAATAGGGTAAACAACAGGGGGCTTATCATACAGCCTTGTCTTGTGCCAACTGAACAATCAAAATATTCTGATTATCATAATCTATCTGTCTGTACATTGATGAGATAACCCTAAGGAATTTAACATTAATATTATTTTTAAACAACACATATATCAAAAGGTGATGCTGCACACTATCAAACGATTTGGAAAAGTCTACAAGTAAACAATAGAAACGACCTTTAGAGTGGGATAGATACTTCTAAATCAGCGAATGCAAAGTAAAAATAATATTCGCTGTACTATACCCCCTTCTATATCCGATTTGTTCCTCGTACAACTTTCCTTCGCGCTCACACCACCTAATCAAGCGGTTGTTCAGGATTTTTGTAAATAATTTCCCCATAACTGAAGAAAGTGATATTCCTTTGAAATTATGCGGATCACTTTTATCTCCTTGCTTGTGCAATGGGATAATAATGGCTCGACTCCAAGCTTCTGGATATGCTCCGGTCTGTAAAATTGTATTGTAGAGCTCGACTAAAAAAGGGAGCAACTTGACAAGTGATTGTCGCAGATGCTCATTAAGAATACCATCTGGTCCAGGCGCATTTCCATTCGGAAGGTCGTTAATAGCCTCAGTTATCTCCTGTTCTGCAATCATCTCATCCAGGAGATCTGGCTCAGTATATTGGCGAATCTCAGATTCTCTATAATTCAAAATATTTAAGACATGCTCCCCGAAAGCAGCATCAACATCATACTTCGTATCATTCAGGAGGATTTGGAAATGTGTATACCACTCATCTGGTGAAACTGAACTATTCACTTTATTATTACCCTTTGAAGCTCTCTTGAAGCCTTTCCATAACTCAAGTGAGCCAGAGAACTGGATTGGTATTATTCTTGAATTGTCACGAAGTTCACAGCAGTCTTTCTTTCTCTTACAAGCTGCCTTAAATTGGTTCTTTGCCCGGTTATAAGCTACCTGATCGTCAACCTCATTTGTCCTCCTCCATACCTTTAACTTTTCATACTTCTCGATCCTCTTAGTTCCACATTCATCATCCCACCAAGGTGGTTGCTCTCTTTTGTCGCTGGAATGAAATATCTGACAAGCCATACCACTAACTTGAGCAGCACTGGAAATGGTATCTGATAATCTATTGATCGCATCGTTTATCTTATCACTCTTCAGATAATCTACAAAACACTGAAAGAAATTGGTATTTAAACTGTTATCCAAAATCTCATGAAAGATTTGGGCACTATCAGGTTTCCATTTCAGTCTCTTCCACTTGGTAACATGTATTTTATTTTTATGCAGTTCATCATACCCAATTATAGTTTGTATACAACACTTAAGAGGTAAATAGTCTGATACGTCATTATCAAGAACCGCAAAATCCATAACTTGCTTGTATAAACTTGAAGAAACCAAGACACAATGTTTCGAACAAAGCTATAATTTCAAAAGAACTAATAAAATTAATAAATTCAGAGTTAATGTGTTTTCTTAGTTCATTCACATTCCAAAATTAAGGGAATTCCGTGAAACCCCTACTTGATTTACTGAACAGTGTTTAAAATTCGGCAAGAAAAGTTGTAAGCCAACAGAAACCGCTGGTAGACGCCATTCGTGAAAGTTGTAGGTCCTAACATTAACATGTGGGTCCAATAAATATTAGCAAAACACACATATACTACCCTACCCCAAATGCCTTGAATTTCTAAGTTCCGTAGGTGTCTTCTACTGCCATTTGGGACAGGTTTAAAAGTTAAAATACGTATTCAATATTGATTGACTGTTCACATTAAAATTTTAACTTCTGAAAGATTTAATGTTTATACTTCGTGTACAGAAAGAAAAAAATCATTCCTGCCCAGACTTGATATTTATTTTTCTGTAATAAATAAATATTCACTTGCAATAATCTTGGTGATTATATGTAGGTCTACTTTATAGTAGACACCGTATCTCGAAACTCCATTCACATAGAAATCTGAAGATTAAAATGGCCCTTCACATTCTCCAAAAATTAACAGAAAATATTGCGCATATAAATGAAATGAAATGAAACTGGCGTTTAAGGTCTTACAAAACATAGATTAAAATGTCTTACATTTCAATAAACTTATTAAATTTACTGTCTTGTAGCAACAATCATTTGATTTGTTTCATTCATAATGACGTGTGGAACTGTGAAATGAAAGACCGTGACCTCTTTCAACATGAAAGTGAACTATCAGTGCTATTTGGCAGACGACGCGTCATTTTTTTTTATCATTATTAAACTGACTTTATGTCCACGTTGTGATAGCCTATATTTATGGAGCGATAAACTCTTTGTTATTCTTCCTATATGACATATTGCACGTGCCTGATTTCGAAGACATAGGTCTCCAGTACGGTAGTGAACTCTTCATTTTAAAGAAATAGACTTGATAATCAAGTCTGCTATTAAATCACGAGAGTTAGAAAGAATGGCGGGAAAGGCCACTCGTTTTACCTCGCTGGAATTATTTTGTTACCGGTAGTTAGGCTTTCGGGGAATTTTCAGCTCTGGTTTTTCAATTTCATTTTTACAAGACAAAGGATTTATATTACGTGAATATTTATTCTTGGATTCATAGACAGTAGATAGACTGACCTAGTTTAGTAGCATACGCGTTTGGATCTCTCCATTGAAGGACTACAATAATTATGCCGGATTATGCATGTGTATTCTATATCGGATAAAGACAAATAAGACAGTAAGTAAGGCATACTATCGGAACACACACTCATCTATTCCACACTTGATCAAAATGGTTAAATAATATTCTGCCGAACTCTTGAGAGCGTGCTGATATTTGCAAGCACGACCTCACTCCTACAACGATAATTTCAGTTCCGGTAATGAAATAGTGTTAAATATCTGGATGAAATATATTTCGGATATAAATAGGGGCAATATAAATATTTGATAGAACCATGAACAAAATAGCCATGACAAAAACAGTCGGCTCAAAGGGCCGACCCACCATCTTCAAAATAAAAAGATGTCGGCCCGTCCAGTTATTTATCGGCGCCGGGCCGACATCTTCAAAATAAAAAGATGTCGGCCCGTCCAGTTATTTTTAGGCGCCGGGCCGACGTAAATTTCAATCTCGTACAGACAAATGGGTGGATTGGGACAAAACCAAATCCCTTCTGCTTTGACCGCTGCTATTTATAACCAAGCATTTGAACAAAATGCTTGGATGACATAGTTTCCTTGTATTATGTATATTCATAAATAAATAGTTCTTGTCATTTTATTAGAACAAAATATTATACATTGTAAATTGAGACCAGTAATATCTATAGTCAGACACTAATCTCCTACACTTGTTCATTATAATTAAATGTATTCATTGTTTTAATCTTTAACAAACAGAAGTTTCATTGTCACATTGTTTTAAGATTTA